AGGCATTCTTTTGCCTGGTCCATATTGGCAATTGTTTGGGTTATGGTTAGAATCTATACTTGAACACGATAATCTATACTTTAACTTTAATATATACTTTAACGGTATATAAATTGTTCAATATTAATTTCAGGTTCAATGGGTAAAGGGCCAAATGAAGAGGAAAATGCCGAACTGTCCCAATTCTTATGGAAGGCAGTGTAAACACAAACGTATCCGTGGCCCACAAGGTTAGTAACTGAGTGTACTACCAAGGAATTCTTATGGAGGAGAGAGCAGATGTGGAGGTGAACGATGTAAAGGAGAGACAGGTATGGAGGAGAAACGGATATGGAGGAGAAACAGATATGGAGGAGAGACAGATATGGAGGAGAGACAGATATGGAGGAGAGACAGATATGGATGAGAAACAAATATGGAGGAGAGACAGATATGGAGGAGAGACAGATATGGATGAGAGACAGATATGGAGGAGAAACAGATATGGAGGAGAGACAGATATGGATGAGAAACAGATATGGAGGAGAGACAGATATGGAGGAGAGACAGATATGGAGGAGAAACAGATATGGAGGAGAAACAGATATGGAGGAGAGACAGATATGGAGGAGAGACAGATATAGAGGAGAGACAGATATGGAGGAGAGACAGATATGGAGGAGAGACAGATATGGAGGAGAGACTGGTATGGAGGAGAGACAGATATGAAGGAGAGACGGGTATGGAGGAGAGACAGATATGGAGGAGAGACAGATATGAAGGAGAGACGGGTATGGAGGAGAGACAGATATGGAGGAGAGACAGATATGAAGGAGAGACGGGTATGGAGGAGAAACAGATATGGAGGAGAAACAGATATGGAGGAGAGACTGGTATGGAGGAGAGACAGATATGAAGGAGAAACAGATATGGAGGAGAGACTGGTATGGAGGAGAGACAGATATGAAGGAGAAACAGATATGGAGGAGAGACAGATATGGAGGAGAGACGGGTCAGGAGAGAGCAGGAGAGAAGGACTGCATGCTGTATGTGTGAGAACAAGCTGGCGATGTGAATGCATGTCGAATATTATAAGACCAAACATACTGGCCCGTGGTGATTACGTATAATGATAATATTATGCATTAATGTTCAATATTAAATCTGTCCTTAATAATGTGTTACATCCAGTTACAACATGACATTCCAACAAATGTCTTGAAGCATCAGCGTTTATGACTGGTCAAGTCATTCTGCAGATGATCTTATCCTGAGTGACTTACATGAGCAATTTTGGGTCAATTGCCAAAACAACAGATATTCCACCTTGTTGCCATGGGGATTCTATTCAACAGCCTTTCATAGAAAGCAACTTAAACGTTAGCTGGTATGTGGTGTGCGCGTTCTGGCGCAACATGACTGCCGTCGCATCACCAGGTGGATGCTGCACAATGGTGGTGGTTGAGGAGATTCCCCCTTCCATGTGAAGCTCTTTGAGTACCCAGAAAAGCGCTATATAAAATGTAATGAATTATTATTATTAATTCTGACGTTATCCGGCATCTAACCGAAAATAGTAAGCATTTAAAATATATATTTGTTAATGGCTGTTTCAGCAATTTTTCAGTAACTAAAAGGCTGGGTTTTTAATAGATTTTATTGATGAATCTGGAGCAGCAGATATAGTTATAGATATAGATATAGGTCACGATTGAATAGTAACAGAAACTTGTCACTGAGCAGTCAACTCAAACTGCTTATTGTGGCAGTTCTTCGCACCTTTCAAATCTAAAGAGTTTGGGTAAAAAAGCATAAGACATTGAAGTAAACACACCATGGATAAAAAAATTCAGCCAAAAATGGCTCCATTTCAGTCACTTTCTATGAGCATGTGAAGATTCCGGTATGTCACACTACTATTTTATAGGCCTAAAACATTCTAACATTCATCACACCTTTCTACCCCAAAGTGGACACATTTCAAGCTTGTCTACATGAACACTCTGGTCTCTGGTGAAAAACCAGCTAACGCTACCGCCAAAGTTAATGCTAACCCTCCAGCTGCCTTCCCTGTGCTTCTCAAATCAACATCTTATTCCTGTCTTTGCTCATCTGAAGCCTAAAACCCCTCATCCTCCTCTCGTTCTCTCATTCTCTCTCTGTCTCTCTCTCTCTGCAAAAGCCCTCGTTTGTAAGACAAATATTATAACAAATTAAGCAGCATAACAATGGCCGGGCGTCAGCCTGACGTCAGCCTGCATTTCATTAGCAGTGCTAGGCTAACGCGTTCCATATGGAGGAGTAGCCTGCGGCGTAGTAGCTAGCCCCCCGCTGCCCTGCCCAGACCACCTCAGCTCAGACAGTCTCAGCTGCCCCAGGCCCCTGCCTCAACTGGCCCCCAGGCAGCCCCCGGCCCAAATGGCCCCCACCGTTATGTCACCTTTAATTTGGGCTTGTCACACATCACCTGACACCTACCCCGTCATGCCATAACCTTTTGTCCTGTTGGAACAAAAAGAGTTACTCCTTTGCTCTCTTCCCTTCTCTCCTTCCATCGGGATCGTTTCTCTCCCTCTCTTATTCTGCTCACCCTTTCTCGCTCTCTCTCTCTCTCTCTCTCTCTCTCTCTCTCTCTCTCTCTCTCTCTCTCTGTCTGTCATCAGCGTCTGTTTCAGTGGCTTTGCCTTCCCCCGTACCTCTCCTCACCTACCTCTAGATCTGTAACCCACCTCTGACCTTTGTTATTTTCAACGATGAAGAGTTCATGAATGCAACAGATACAAACAGCTTCCAATGGTTCCATGTCCATTTTCCCTCCATCTTCTCCATTTCGCTCCACCGCTCCTCTTGCTTCACCATCTCTTTTGTCTCTGGCTCTCTGTTTCCGTGACCTGGCTGAGGGGCAGACGCCGTTCTGACAGACTTACGGAATGACAATGAAATGCAAAACGTGACATACGGCCTGTGACAGCATTGTGGAATCGAACAAAAATAAAGAATGTGTCAGAGTTCTGGAATCGGATTGTGGAGTTTGGAGTGTGACACGACTATGAAATGTGACAGACTTTTGGAATGTGATGAAAGTTTTGAACTTGATGGCGGGGAGAGCGAAAGGTACAGAATAGAGAGTGTCAGCAGGGAGTAACATGAGTAGAGTGAATAGCCCTGAAGAGAAGAATTGGTCATGATAAAAAATGTGTTGACAGCTGCCGCTGTGTGTGTATGTGTGCACATGTGTGATTGTGTATTTGTGTGTACATGCTTATATGGATGTGTGTGTGTGACTGTATTGGGAAGTGTGTGTATTGGTGTGTGTGTGTGTCTGTGTGTCTGTATTGAGAAATGTGTGTCTGTATCGGTGGTGTGTGTGTGTTTGTATTGGGATGTGTGTGTGTCTGTATCAGGGTGTGTGTGTCTGTATTGGGATGTGTGTGTGTCTGTATTGGTGTGTGTGTGTCTGTATTGGGGTGTGTGTCTGTATAGGGGTGTGTGTGTCTGTATTGGGGTGTGTGTGTCTGTATTGGGGTGTGCGTCTGTATTGGGGTGTGTGTCTGTATTGGGCTGTGTGTGTCTGTATTGGGGTGTGTGTTTCTGTATTGGGGTGTGTGTGTATTGGGGTGTGTGTCTGTATTGGGGTGTGCGTGTATGTATTGGGGTGTGTGTTTCTGTATTGGGGTGTGTGTGTATTGGGGTGTGTTTCTGTATTGGGGTGTGTGTCTCTGTTAGCTGTCCCTCATCACTGTGTTCTCCAGGTTTATAGAGTTGGCTGGACCTGTTGGCTCCATCAGGGTCCAGACAGCACATTGCACCAGGTTATGTGTGTGTTCATGTGTGTGCGTAGCTAATCTCAATGGATCTAACAATATAACAGTTAGTGACAGGCTGGTTTTATAGTAGTGAAAAACGAACAGAATTTTTATTTTTTAATATTTATTAATTTGCAGAATATGACCCAGACAATATTAAGTGAAGTTCATGAGACTATTCCAAATTCACATTCCTATTCCAGCATATTTAATAAAACCTTCTGACTACTAATATCTGACTGATACAAACCATCCATCAAGGTCTCTGTTTCGACTCAACAGTGTATTAGCCAACGTTTAAAACATAATGCTACATGTGGAGTGGTAACATGTAAAATACCAATATTATGATGCTACATGTGGAGTGGTAACGTGTAAAATACCAATAACATGATGCTAAAGGTGAAGTGGTAACATGTAAAATACCAATAACATGATGCTACAGGTGGAGTGGTAACATGTAAAATACCAATAACATGATGCTACAGGTGGAGTGGTAACATGTAAAATACCAATGACATGATGCTAAACGTGGAGTGGTAACATGTAAAATACCAATAACATGATGCTAAACGTGGAGTAGTAACATGTAATATACCAATAACATGATGCTAAACGTGGAGTGGTAACATGTAAAATACCAATAACATGATGCTAAACGTGGATTGGTAACATGTAATATACCAATAACATGATGCTACAGGTGGAGTGGTAACATGTAAAATACCAATAACATGATGCTACAGGTGGGGTGGTAACATGTAAAATATTGTATGTCAGTAGAGAAAGATAATGCATGTGATTACGGAGTTGTGATATGACACATAGAGACTGATCTTAGAAGTATTTCTGACATTTTTAAACATCCCTGACGGCATATTTAACATAAACCCAGTCCAAATCCTAGAACCACATGAAAGCGTCACGTAACCCATCAAAATGTTAATTTACTTTAACTTCATGCATAGACTTACTTTACATTAAATCACTTACTTTGCCAACATGGTTGTTTATTCTCCCTGGAAAAACATTAAAGTAAAACATTCAGATTTAATTGCTCTTGCACTGTGCCAAAGTTCTAGCCAGTTCTGAAAGAAAATTGTAAGAATGCCTTCATTAATGTTAATATTTATTTCTTTTCTTTATTTTTTTAACCTTTATGTAACCAGGTAGGCCGATTGAGAACAAATTCTCATTTGCAATGGCGACCTAGGGAGAAGCTGGGAATTGAACCCAGGACATCACGTACAAAAAGCATGAACTCTACCACTGAGCTACGAACAAAAGTGATTAAATTATTCTTGGTACAGTACACTTTATATAGTCTTTATCTAGCCTTTATATATCTTTTATGTAGCCTTTATATAGCCTTTATATAGCTTTTATATAGACTTTATTTAGCCTTTATATAGCTTTTATATAGCCTTTATATATCTTTTATATAGCCTTTATATAGCTTTTATATAGCCTTTATATAGCTTTTATATAGCCTTTAGATAGCCTTTATATAGTTTAAATATTGGCTTTCAATAGCCTTTATATAGCTTTTATACAGCCTTTATATAACCTTCATATAGCCTTTATATAGCCTTTATATAGCCTTTATATAGCTTTTACGTGAACTAGAGGCGGATGAGAGGTGGCCTGCAGCGAGACGTGAACTGGTTACGGACTATACACAATACACAAATACACAAATACACAAACACACAAACACACAAATACACATATACACAATACACAAATACACATATACACAAATACACTTATACGCAAATACGCAAATATGCAAATACCCATACACACAATACACAAATACACATATACACAAATACACATATACACAAATACACTTATACACAAATACACTAATACACAAATACACAAATACACAAACACACAAATACACATATACACAAATACACTTATACACAAATACACTTATACACAAATACACATATACGCAAATACGCAAATATGCAAATACCCATACACACAAACACACAAACACACAAATACATATATACACATATAAACAAATACACAAATACACAAACACACAAACGCACAAATGCACAAATACGCAAATACCCAAACACACAAATACACAAACACACAAATACACAAAGTCAACGTTCTGATATTGTGACGACACAATCACACTGATGTTCATATGAACAGTAATACTAGCTGCTGTCACCCGCATGGTACAGTCATAACATAACATATAGACTATGGACTTCTAAACCATTTGCACTCTTTGGCGCATACACACACACACACACACACACACACACACACAGAGTAGTAATTTATTGTGCTCCAGCTGCGGTGATGTCATTGCTTGCTGCCACTTTGCTGATTGTGGGTGTTATTGAATGCAGAGCACTTTGATTCACTTTCAAGAGTGATGCATGAGCAAACACACACACACACACACACACATACCAACAAACACAGCACAAAAGTACCCAGTACCCCCCCCCTCCCCCTCCTCACACACACATACTCACAACATGCAACACCTATAGTAAATTCACCCACTCTTTTTCAGACACAATACACAGGAGATATATAGTAATGCCAAATAGTTAATACCAGACAGAGCTGGTGAAAGTTTGTGCGAGTGTGTGTGTGTGTGTGTCTGAACTCTACGGTGTGTGTGTGTGTGTGCGCTTGTTTCTACTAGATTAATGTGTATGTGTCTGTGTGTGTACAATAAGCATGTGTGTGTGCATGGGCTGTTTGTGTGTGTGTGTGTGTGTGTGTGTGTGTTTGTTTGCTTGAAAAAAAGCCTTGATGGTTGGCAACAGGAGGAGAGATAAGAGATCTGACGACACTCAATGTGGGAATATCTCCTCCCTCAAACTCAAAGCAATCCCCAAATACATCTTTCATCTTGCTCTCTCCTCTCAAACACACGATCAACTGTGCCAAGTATTTATCACAAATTAAATTCAAGACATACTTCTCTCTTTCTCACTCGTGTACTCTCATACACACTTGAAAGCCAACGTGTGTGAATGATTCCTGTGCGGTGACAGAGTCAGTTACACGGCACTGGTATAGTTTCACCAGTGTAATAACCTGCAAACACATTCACACAGGCCTGGTCAGTTTCCCTATGTTCCTGTTCATCTAGATGTCCCCAGTCCCATATCCCTCTCTCCTCTTCTCCTCATGTCCCCCTCTCCTCTTCTCCTCATGTCCCCCTCTCCTTATGTCTTCATATCCCCCTTCTCCTCTTGTTTTCATTTCCTCCTCTCCTCATGTCCCCCTCTCCTCAGGTCCTCATATCCCCCTCTCCTCATGTCCCCCTCTCCTCTTCTCCTCATGTCCCCCTCTCCTCTTCTCCTCGTGTCCCCCTCTCCTTATGTCTTCATATCCCCCTTCTCCTCTTGTTTTCATTTCCTCCTCTCCTCATGTCCCCCTCTCCTCAGGTCCTCATATCCCCCTCTCCTCATGTCCCCTCTCCTCATGTCCCCCTCTCCTCATGTCCCCCTCCTCATGTATTCATGTCCCCCTCTCCTCATGTCCGTCTCTCTCTCTCTCCTCCAGCCCCTTTCCTTCTGTCCCACTCACCCTGTCTCTCCTTTCCCAAGTTCCCATATCCCTGTCACCCCAGCCCCCTGTCCTTCTGGTCCTCTGTTCCCCTGTCTCTTGTCCCCGGTTCACTCACCTATTTCCTCTTGTCCCTCTGTCCTGTCCCACAACCACGTCTACATCCTATTGCCATGTCTTCCCCCTTCTCTCCTCCCCTTTTATTCTCTTAGCCCTGCCTC